GGCAGTTGAACAGTCTCGGGGCCCCTGACACTTATTGTATGGTCTCTTAACGTGCTAGTGACATCCCTGCTTTTCATTGGGGGGATGTTGCATCATCTGCCAAGTCTTTTGCTTTCGTAGTGAGTGATTTTCGTGTGCAAGTTCGGTACTAGTCCCTCTAGGATTTTCCAGGTGTATATAATCATGTATCTCTCCCGCCTGCATTCCAGGGAATACAGGTTTAGGAACCTCAAGCGCTCCCAGTAATTGAGGTGTTTTATCTCCGTTATGCATGCCGTGAAGGTTCTCTGTACATTTTCTAGGTCAGCAATTTCACCTGCCTTGAAAGGTGCTGTTAGTGTGCAGCAATATTCCAGCCTAGATAGAACAAGTGACCTGAAGAGTGTCATCATGGGCTTGGCATCCCTAGTTTTGAAGGTTCTCATTATCCATCCTGTCATTTTTCTAGCAGATGCGATTGATACAATGTTATGGTCCTTGAAGGTGAGATCCTCCGACATGATCACTCCCAGGTCTTTGACGTTGGTGTTTCGCTCTATTTTGTGGCCAGAATTTGTTTTGTACTCTGATGAAGATTTAATTTCCTCGTGTTTACCATATCTGAGTAATTGAAATTTCTCATCGTTGAACTTCATATTGTTTTCTGCAGCCCACTGAAAGATTTGGTTGATGTCCGCCTGGAGCCTTGCAGTGTCTGCAATGGAAGACACTGTCATGAAGATTCGAGTGTCATCTACAAAGGAAGACACGGTGCTGTGGCTGACATCCTTGTCTATGTCGGATATGAGGATGAGGAACAAGATGGGAGCGAGTACTGTGCCTTGTGGAACAGAGCTTTTCACCGTAGCTGCCTCGGACTTTACTCTGTTGACGACTACTCTCTGTGTTCTGTTAGTGAGGAAATTATAGATCCATCAACCAACTTTTCCTGTTATTCCTTTAGCACGCATTTTGTGCGCTATTACGCCATGGTGACACTTGTCGAAGGCTTTTGCAAAGTCTGTATATATTACATCTGCATTCTTTTTGTCTTCTAGTGCATCTAGGACCTTGTCGTAGTGATCCAATAGTTGAGACAGACAGGAGCGACCTGTTCTAAACCCATGTTGCCCTGGGTTGTGTAACTGATGGGTTTCTAGATGGGTGGTGATCTTGCTTCTTAGGACCCTTTCAAAGATTTTTATGATATGGGATGTTAGTGCTATCGGCCTGTAGTTCTTTGCTGTTGCTTTACTGCCCCCTTTGTGGAGTGGGGCTATGTCTGTTGTTTTAGTAACTGTGGGACGACCCCCGTGTCCATGCTCCCTCTCCATAGGATGGAAAAGGCTCGTGATAGGGGCTTCTTGCAGTTCTTGATGAACACGGAGTTCCATGAGTCTGGCCCTGGGGCAGAGTGCATGGGCATGTCATTTATCGCCTGTTCGAAGTCATTTGGCATCAGGATAACATCGGATAGGCTTGTGTTAACCAAATTCTGTGGCTCTTTCATAAAAAATTCATTTTGATCTTCGACTCTCAGTCTGGTTAGCGGCTTGCTAAAAACTGAGTCATATTGGGACTTGAGTAGCTCACTCATTTCCTTGCTGTCATCTGTGTAGGACCCATCTTGTTTAAGTAGGGGCCCAATACTGGACGTTGTTCTCGACTTTTATTTGGCATAGGAGAAGAAATACTTTGGGTTTCTTTCGATTTCATTTATGGCTTTTAGTTCTTCCCGCGATTCCTGACTCCTATAAGATTCCTTTAGCTTAAGTTCGATGCTTGCTATTTCTCTGACCAGTGTCTCCCTACGCATTTCAGATATATTGACCTCTTTTAGCCGCTCTGTTATTCTTTTCCGTCGCCTGTAAAGGGAGCACCTGTCTCTTTCTATTTTACATCTACTCCTCCTTTTTCTTAGAGGAATAAGCCTTGTGCATACATCGAGTGCCACCAAGTTAATCTGTTCTAGGCATAAGTTGGGGCCTGTGTTGCTTAGTATATCTTCCCAGCTTATATAGGTTAGGACTTGGTTTACTTGGTCCCACTTTATGTTTTTGTTATTGAAGTTGAATTTGGTGAATGCTCCCTCGTGACTAATCTCGTTATGTCGGTCTGGGGCTCCACGCATACATGTCTGAACCTCAATTATGTTGTGATCTGAGTACATTGTTTTTGATATGGTGACATTTCTTATCAGATCATCATTGTTAGTGAAGATGAGGTCTAGTGTATTCTCCAGTCTAGTAGGCTCTATTATTTGCTGGTTTAAATTGAATTTTGTGCAGAGATTTAAAAGCTCGTGTGAGTGTGAGTTTTCATCAGAGCTGTCTCCTGGTGTTATTACTGCAACAATATTATTTGCTATATTCCTCCATTTTAGGTGCCTTAAGTTGAAATCCCAAAGGAGCAAGATGTTGGGTGCAGGAGCTGGAAGATTTTCCAGACAGTGGTCAATTTTTAACAGCTGCTCCTGGAATTGCTGGGATGTTGCATCCGGAGGCTTGTAGACCTTTACTGTTAAAACTTCCACTACATCATTTGAGGCATTAAGCAGTTCTGTGCAAACAAGTGACTCTGCTATGTACAGGCCAAACCCCCCCTTTTGCCTGTTCACTCTGTCACATCTGTATAGGTTGTAACCTGGGATCCATATTTCGTTGTCCAGGTGATCCTTTATGTGGGTCTCAGTGAAAGCCGCGAACATTGCCTTTGCCTCTGCAAGCAGTCCACGGATGAAAGGTATTTTGTTGTTTGTTGCTGGCTTTAGACCCTGTATATTTGCAAAGAAGAATGTCATCGGACTGGTGGTATTGTTGGTACTAGGGTTTTTTTTTTTTTCCGGCATTAGTATCTGTATCTTGGTTTGGAGTGGAGGCCATTGACTGTTGTTCCACTCCAGGAATGACTGGATTTGGTGCACGATTTCTGCCATTTCCTGCCAGTTTTTTTTCCTTCCTGGCACTAAAAAACCTCTCCCTCTTGAGTGGCTGTGGCTACCCAGGTTTTCCCATGGCTTGGATGTTTTGTATCTTTTTGTCCCCTTTAGATGGTGTGCCTGGCAATTTAAGTTATAGCACAGTCTTTCCTGTACTGAAGAGGTACACATTTCAGGGTGAAAAAGCTTACAGGAAGGGAGTTTGCATTTTCCTGTTGTCATATGGGCACGGCATTTTCTAGGGTGGTCATAGTTGCACGTCCCATCTGTTTTTCCAGATTTCCCATGCCTGCAGATACCAAGTGCATAGTATGTGCACAGGCTTGGTTTCCATTTGCCTTGGGTTTCTGTGACTGTATTCCCTGTTGGTGCATGTTTCCCTGTCTTATTCCTATCCTCCCTAGCACCAACAATGGAGCTTCCAAAAGTTGTTTTTGGTAATATATCCTCAGTATTGCTAGTGGAGTCCTCTTGTTTGCTATATCCTGTGGTATTTCTAGTTTGCAATATTGGTTTTATCTTATCTTTGACTACACTTGTTTCCCCACTACGGCTCCTGTCCCCTATGAGGTCATTTATATGTATTCCTTCCTGCGTAAAATTCCCGACTACCTGGACAAAATCTCCAGCTTCACCATTACGGACAGCACCTCCAGCTTCACCATTACTGTCTCCCAGGACAGCACCTCCAGCTTCACCATTGCTGTCTCCCAGAACAAGAACTAAGATAAAATCAAAGAAAACTCAGACGAGTGTGTATAAATAAACGTGTACATGTATGTTCAGTGCGACTTAAAGTGTAAGTAGAAGTAGCAAGATGTACCTGTAATCTTGCATATTTATGAGACAGACAAAAGACACCAGCAATCCTACCATCATGTAAAACAATTACAGGCTTTCGTTTTACACTCACTTGGCAGAACGGTAGTACCTCCCTGGGTGGTTGCTGCCTACCAACCTACTACTCATAAAATAAAATGATATTCTGGAATAATACAACTCTTTAAGAAGCTGTCATGTTAACTGAGGGCATTACTACTACAGTTATGCAGAGGAAAGAGTGCTGAACCCATAGTGAGTGATACAACACCTGGAGGACGGAGAGGCATTATAGTTCTATCCAATGGGAGACAAGGTTCATTTCCTTGGATCAAGAGCCATCCAGTATCTGGGAACCTCTCTTTCAAATTCAAATTCAAAGTTTATTCTCTATAAAGATTACGCTGTATAGTCCTTGTGGCTTAGCGCTTCTTTTTTATTATAATAATAATAATCTATAAAGATTACAATGTTGAATTTACAGAATTTGGTTGTTGTGTGGTTTACATGTAGTTAAATAATGATTACAGAGTGTACCACTAGAACGCCTAGCATGGCTAGGCATTTCGAGCAGACTTAATTTGTAATATTTTAAAATAAAGAATTAAACTATGGGGTAAGTTGGTATTATGGCTAAGTGACTAAATACTAGTTTGTGAGTTTAGCAATGTGAATGCTTTTGTTTTGGCACAGTACATAGTTTCAGTATTGGAGTATCATAGGATTCATTATTTTAAGATTGAGATTAATATTTCTGTTTATGGTCAAATGGGTGAGTGAGTGGCATTATTTACTAAAAATTTGATAATTTCCACAGTTAAATTATTGAAAATTTGCCTGTTATTTCCTTGATGCTGGTGAGGGGCTCTTGTTCCAAGGAATTGGACTGTATTTCAGCTCCCTTCAACCTGATTGCTTTCCATGGTTCAAAACTGACAAGCAATGAAAGATGCTGGTGAGGGGCTCTTGTTCCAAGGAATTGGACTGTATTTCAGCTCCCTTCAACCTGATTGCTTTCCATGGTTCAAAACTGACAATCAGTGAAAGATGCAATTTGCAGAAAGGGAGTATATCAAGATGTTTCACCTGTGGATAGACTTCATTGAAGAAGCCTATCCACAGGAAATATGTTGAGATAAAGTTCCTCCCCGCAGCTATCTTTTATTCACCTGATTATGTTATCTAGTTTAAGGACTATTATTTATTATTAGTGTTCACAAGACAAGGATTGCAAAGCAGAATGCTTACTTTTGAATAAACTTACCAGGAGCATCTGCCATTAGGTCCATATAGTGTTGGTGTGAAGGCCCCACTTTGGCTAGGCCTGATGGCTGTGGCGATGGCATTAGGTAATCATCCTCATCAACTGGGAGGTCTAGTCTGAGGTCACCAACCCAACCATAACTGGGAGCTGATGCAGGTGTCCCATGCCCATTAAAGCAATCATCATCACCAACATCTGTAACATGGGTACAATTATTAAAGAGTTTTCTATTTCTGATGGCATGTAATGCCAACAAGTTGATAAGATATGTGCAATGTTTGGATATCTTTATTGCCACAATGCTTTACCTTCACAAGACTTCCTCAGTTGCATACAGGGAGATAAAACACTGGAAACAGAAGTGGCAAGTGTTAGGTGATCATTCCCTTAGCTTTGGATGTGGCAAGTCCCTCAGCAATAGTCCCTTCTGTTAGTCCCATCAGCAATAAGGATACCCAAGAGCTGCACATGTCTTATTCATCAAGAGTTTCTAGCCACACCTTAATTAAATATTGAGAAATAAAAGTAGTAAAGTTTTAAATATACAGTGGTACCTCGAATTTCGAACAGCTCCCAACTCTAACAATTATGTAAGGGTATTTTTGTAAGTGCTTTTACAAGTGTATTTTTGGGGGTCTGAAATGGACTAATCTAATTTACATTATTCCTTATGGGAACAAATTCGTTTGGTATCAGCACTCAAACATCCTTCTGGAACTAATTAAGTTCGTAACTCGAGATACCACTGTACCTGGTACACCTGTGTAAACAGATGCCAGAGAAATGAGCCAAGTTGATTGCAGATTTGTGGTTTGTTACAATCTCGTTCAACAGAGTTTCTTAATATTGGTGGAGTCCTGAAGAAAGGAACTGGAGTTACTCTCCCTTTCCTGGAGTCAAACCTGGTTACTTTCCATTCTATGCACTGAAGGGCTATCACAAAAGTAAAAGTATATGTTTACATGTAAGCAAACCAGATAACATTAGATTGTGCTTCTAAATTAATTACAAAACTCATTCACTAACAGTGATTAGTAGGAAGGGATGTGCCAATGTGTGTGGAATTGGTGCAATAGATGCATGATACAATACAGAAACATCATAAGTTTCTAAGTTAGCTTTGGAATAATTGATGCATTTTCTATTAAGAACATTCATTATCAAAATAGTTTCAACTGAAAACCTGCACTACTATATAAAATATAGATAACAACAAGATAGAGTACTAAGGAAATAGCAAGCCATATAAACTTCAGCTGAATGTAGCCCAATAATTCTCAAAGTGTTGACATACACAAAACATTATTTATATAAAAAATATGCCAGCTTAACCAATGATCAAGTCTCTAACTCTTAATACTGTATATCTTCCATACCCTCCATCCAACCTCCCTCTACTGCTCTCACCTCCTTCCTTCCACCTCAGATTTTCACATCCTCTTTACTAACTTGTCTTTCTTCCCTTTTTTCACATGACTAAACCATCTTCAAAATCTCTGTTACTTCTTGAATTATACTTTTCACAGCATCACTTTTGAAAAATATAATTCAAAGAGCAATAGTGACATTGTCAAGATGGTTTGGGCATGTAGAAAGCATGGAGAAAAATAGGCTTATCAAAAGGGTGTATAAATTGGGGGTAGATGGAAGGGGGTGTCCCAGGAAACGCTGGATAGAGGATGTGAAAGAGCTTGAAAAGGGCATAAACACCAGCAAGAATATGTGAGCAAACTAGTCCAAAGCAACTAAAGCAAATAGTCATGAAATTTGATTTCTAATATTGTGTATATAGTATATATACATAAATCAAATCTACCAAGTCCACTGCTCTCTAAAATAATTTAAAAATACATAGTAGATACATAATATATTAACTTTAAATCACTACAAGTGTTGTAGATTGCCATCAAGCAGTCACCATTAAGCAAGACACTATAAAACTTGTTCATGTTAAACTGGGACATGGTTTTAATTGCTTCATTCAGTTGAAATTTGACTTACAACTAAGTACTGTACTAAAAAGTCAATAATGCTAAAGACAGATGGTGCAATAAATAAAAGCATGCTTTTAAATGTTAATACAGGAAATGTTTTTTCAAGGCTTCATTCAACTTAATTTTAATGTACAACTACAGTACTACATACAAGGTCAATGCTGCTAAATCAAGCTAAGTGGTGCAACAAATAACAAAAGCATGTGGCGCCAAGGTGCACTAGAGACACACCTTTACCTAGCATCTTGAGTGGGTCAGAGCAGTAGCGTGATGTAAGAGAGTCACCGCGCGGCCTCTGTCCAGGAGACCCTACAGCTCCAGCCTCCAGGTGTGCATATTTCCTCTCCCTCTGCAGATTATGGCGGTTTTGGGGAGACTCTGCTCTTCCAGATATATATTCTGCACCAGCACCTAGACTATATCCTCCTGCAGTTTTTTTGACTGGGGTGGTAGGATCAGAGGTTGAAGTTGAAGACGTGGTAGTGGTGCCTGTGACAGCAACACTTCCGCTGCCATACTTAGGTTGTAAATACTCTTCTGCTGCCATCACAATGCCTTCACCTTCAATGGCTGATGACAATGAGCGGATCAGTTCTCTTTCATCTTGAGGTGTATAAGATGGTAACCGCATCAGCTTATCTCCTGGTATTACTAAGAATCTCCCAGGATCACGTGCCATTTTTGCAAATTCCTCTGCCAGCTCACGAAAGCTTGGGCGGCTCTCAGCGTCCAACATCCAACAACGAATCATAAGCATATAAACATCAATGGTGCAAATAGGTGGCTGGGGCAGCCGTTCTCCTTTTTCTAGTAAGTCTGGTACTTCTCGTGCAGGGATATCTTCATAAGGACGTCCACCATAGGCTAAAATCTCCCAGACTGTCACACCTATACAGGGAAAAATAAAATGGTTAACAAATTAACATAAATGATCACAGATTTAACTTTCAAGTCATGTCCCGATCAGTGATTATTCATTATTTTTATTATTATTACAGTCAAAAGTAAGTGCTAAACCCACAAGGGTCATGAATATTCATTACAATAGAATTTTACAGCATGCCTGCATATATTATTACTGTATAATGTATCCCACTGTATTTATTTTACCTAAGTAACTTGCTGTATCTTCATCTCTATTCAGTCACTCCACAAAACTGAAGATCATTGAGTCAATTTAATATTATAAGTAATAATTTTGAAAGTGTGCTATTTGTTCATTAGCTAAATTTCTTATTATACATATTATTGTAGTTAAGTGCATAAGAAATCCTACTTAACAGTCTATGTCTAAATCTTAAGTAACATATAAGCATTAGGATTAGTTTGCCCAAAAAAGTATTGCATATTACTGGCTTTCTTTTGTGCCTACCAGTGTTTTATTGCATGTAAACTACATTATTTGCAGTGATTAAAGAAATTGTATTGTACTGTATGTAATATAATGTAATGCTATGTATATATGAATGCATCTATCTAAGGGGTCAGCAGCTCATCCCTTGGGACTACTAAATTGCAGTGGTGTCGTAAGTGGGGGAGGGCACCCTGGGTGAGTCCATCAAGGGGTGACACCATAGAGCCTCTAAAGAAGGTGACACTAATGCCCAAAACAGTGCTGCAGCAACATAAGAGAAAAATCCTTTGTTTCTATATAGCCTCTTTTATGATTACAGAGTACAAATAGGCCTATATAGGGAAAATCATAGATTTAGATGATGTGATGGATGATTTTGCAGGATTCAAGGCAACTAAATGTAAGATCAGATTCACTGAGATGTTACCTGTACTCAAGGTCAAATTGGAACTAGTGTTTCTCCAATACTGCAATGTTTTTCGTTATTTTTCAAGTTTTTTTTTTTTTGCACTGTTGAAGATGAGTAAATGTACGATCTGTTGCCTGTACTCAAAGTGGTATTTGAGTTTGTTTCCTCAATATTACTACGGCTATTTATTTTATCATTAATAAAGTTGAGAAGTATTCTCCTGTTCGGTTTGTGGCCCTTAAACGTTCTCATTGTTAAACATTAGTCACTGGTCATGCAGTAGTGACATAACTGGAGTTTACTCCCCCCATCACCCCACCCATGGATTTCATGGGGGTGACACCAAAGATGCCACCCTGGGTGACACCAACCCTAGCAACGCCACTGCTAAATTGAACAGTTTCATGGCAAAAACTGAGAATTTTCCTGGATAAAATTTTTTTTTCAGGGAAGATTCTTTGATTATCCATTGGTTATTTGTTCAAAATAGGTTAACTGATTAAATCTGGTATGTATGAATGCATTTATAACCAGTGATATATATATTTTTCTCAACCACAGTCTAGTCATGTGTGATAGGTGTTCCACGGCTTGGTTGGTAACACACTCGGCTAACACACTGAGTGTCTGGAGTTTGATCCCTGGTACGGGGTGGAAATGTTGGGCATGTTTTCTTAGACCTGCTGTCCCTGTTCATCTAGCAGTAAGTAGGCACCTGGGTATTAGTTGACTTGTGTGGGTCGCATCCAGGGGGGTGGTAGTATATCTTAGATAGGGTTGGGCTTTGAAATAAGCTGATGTAGGATAACAGATCTTAGCTTATAAATTTGATGCATAAAAGAAAATCCTGACTTTTGCATTATATTTAACCCTCAGCCATTCTCATTGTCCTTGACCTCTGGTTATCTTCAAGAAGGTGCTGAACAGGCACCTAAAATCAGTGCCTGATCTGCCGGGCTGTAGTTTGTATGTTGTTTACATGCGGTCAACAGTAACAGCCTGGTTGATCAGACCCTGATCCACCACGAAGCCTGGTCCCAGACTGGGCCGTGGGGACGTTGAATCCCGAAAACCCTCTCCAGGTATACTCCAGGTATACTCCAGGTATTGTATGCTCTAAGTGATGAAGACCAAGCCACACATGTTTAAGCACTGGTCTAGGATTGGAATCTTTCTCTATTAACCCTCTAACTGTTTCTGATGTATATATACATCTTACGAGCCAGAGTTTTTGACGTATTTATACTCCAAAATTCTAGCAGCTTCAAATCAAGCGGGAGAAAGCTGGTAGGCCTACATGTGAGAGAATGGGTCTGTGTGGTCAGTGTGCACAGTATAAAAAAATCCTGCAGCATGCAGTGCACAATGAGAGGAAAAAAACTCCGACTGTGCTTTTGGATTAAAATGCTGACTTGAGGTGTATTTCTGTATAGTATTTATGGTTGTATTCTCATTTTCTTGGTCTCATTTGATAGAATGGAAGACATATTACAGAAGTAGAGATGCTTTTGATTGATTTCACGATGCAAATCTTGAAATTGAGCTCAAAGTAGCGGAAATGTTAGATTTTTGCCGATGTTAAACAAATGACATCATTGTCCAATAAGTGTCCAACTAGCCATTCTAATATGCAGTTATGAATGGGTTGACATTATTTATACAATTATTACAATAATGCAGTAGTCTGCATAACAGTAAATCTTCTATTTTTTGTGTGAATAAAAATTCAAAATAGAAAGCAAGAGTAATATCAGAGGGGCCTGGAGATGTGACTGATGAACAAAGAAAATGTTATTTTAGAGCCAGGAATGTCTGCATTGTTCATTCTGGACCCTATTTTGAAATTGGCATCTTTTTTAATTTGCATGAAATTTGCCAAATTGCCAATTTCTGACCACTTTATTGGGTACTTGAAATCAGTAAATGGGTGGTTTCTTGTACTCAGTCTATAGAACAAATGGAGTTCTAAAGAAATATCTATGAGTTTGGTTGACTGGAACAATGGAATTGGCCAAAAATAGGGCTCAAAGTGGGCGAAATCGCAGATGCGTAAATATTGCAGAGATCGCTACCTTCGCAAGAGCATAATTCTGTAAGTTTTCAATCAAATTTCGTACTCTTGGTGTCATTACCATCGGGAAAAGATTCTCTATCATTTCATAAAAAAAAATAATTTTTTTTTTTAAATTCATTGACACTGAGAGCAGGTTTGTGAGCAGGGGTCTCGACAGTCAAAGGGTTAAATAAGTGTGGCTTAGTGTAGGAGTAGCTTAAACAGGCTTACAGGGGTGTGTCCTATGCCCAAAGCTGTATCTACTCATAACGTATGTCAATATTAATATTCCTTACCAAATGCCCAAACATCAGACTTATGAGTGAAGATCCTATGCTGTATACATTCCAGGGCCAACCACTTGATAGGCATCTTTCCACCAGCTGCTTTGTACTCATCCTCATTATAGTCCAAAAGTTTGGCTAAGCCAAAGTCTGTGATTTTGACACAATTTGGTGTTTGCACCAAGACATTTCTTGCTGCAAGGTCACGATGCACTAGGCGGCGGTCTTCAAGATATGCCATTCCACGTGCAATTTGGGTACACCAGTTTAAGAGTGGCTTGGACCCAATCTGAAATAAATAATGTATGTATTTCAGGGTTGTAATTTTCCGAAGATCATACATATAATACTCATGGTAATCACTCCCTAAGAATATATATAATAAGAACACTTAAAATGCTTTTATAAACCTCTATACATTTAAGTATAAACACTGAAGAGAGGAAGTTTAAGAACATAGGTAGATGTAGTGAGTGTTGCGAGATCACATGAGTTGATAAAGTGAGTATTGTGAGGTAACATGGATAGAGACAGTGTTGGAAGATATCATGGACAGGTATAGTGAGTGTTTGAGATAGCATGGACATTTACAATGAGATGAGAGATAACATGGACAGATATAGTGTATGTTGCAGGATAACATAATAGTGTTGAGATAACAGACAAATCTAAAGAGCACTAAGAGATAGCATGGACAGATATACAATTGTGAATATTGCAAAATAACATAGATACAGTGAGTGTTGTGTGAAAAATAACTTGGGATTCACACCAACACCATATGAGAAGTGGCACTGAACAACATTGAAGGGAGTAATCTGTTATAAGCAGGGCCGGATTACAGCATAGGCAAACTAGGCATTTGCCTAGGGCCCCGTGCATTTGGAGGCCCCGCGGTCCAAGGGGTTCAGGGGCTCATCCAAGACTGCGCACATGGTGCAAGTGCAAAGGGGTCCCTACCTAAAAAGTTAAAGTGTTTGGAGAGTAAAATTGATTTTTAAAAATTGATCAAAACAAAAATAAATAATGAAATAAAATAAAATAAAAATAAATAAACCTAACCATTTTAAATTTAATCTATTAAATTTAATCTAAATAGACAGAATGTATTTAATTAGACCTTAAACAGGCTCACACCCCCCCCCCCACACCCCACCCCCAAGCTGGAAGGGGTCGCTTCGCTTACCCATAACTCAAAGGGGCCCCACCAATCTGAATAGCCTAGGGCCCGGAGACTTCTTAATCTGGCCCTGGTTATAAGGGGAATAAATGAATGACATTTCTTCTATGATTATTCAAGTGAAGTTGAGCCTGTTACACCTCGGCTGTGACACACCTCAGATAAAACTGTTAATATTTTGTGTGAAAATCATGAAGAAATTTCTTTCTGAGTGACACACAATGATTTAACATATTTTGTAAAATTATAATACAAATAATAATAATTAAATTTCATATGTGCAACTCTTGGGTATCTTTATTTCCTCCTCAATAAAGATACCCAAGAGTTGCGCATGTGTCTAATTTAACAACGTGTCGGTTCTTTGAACCATTCATCTACAATTAAATTTCACTTTTTTATATATTAATTATTTATTAGAGGTGTATTTTAAGCCCTCTTGTTTTAAAGTTTTTCTAGGCTAGTACTTCACCACCCCATGAAAGTGGACACATCAATAATTATAATTATAAAACAAGCCACTAAATCTAAGTGTCTTACCTTGTCTTTGTTATTACGGACATAATCTAAGAGGCAGCCCAGTGGCATGAGCTGTGTGACGAGCATGATCTGAGTGGTCATGCAGACAGCCAGGAGCTGCAGAAGGTTGGGATGGTCCACAGATGCCATGATATAAGCCTCTTCCAGGATCTCCTTGTTCACATTAGTTCCAGTACCTGCAAGTGGAAGTGCTGCACTCATCATCTCTAATCAGAACACCATTTGTGGAAGTTTTAGTAAATCCTCAATGTAACCGACTAAGGGAGAAGTAGGTGGTTTGTAATAGCAGCTGTGGTGAACTGAGAAGATAGTTTTGCTATGATAGTAACAATAACCTACAATTCTGTAACCAACGTGACTTTGTCCGTTGTTTCTCAATTGAATCACCCAGTGGATTTTGTTCTGTATTTTTAAAATATGTTATATAAAGGTCCATTATATTCACAGATTACTTATCATTTCTTGATAATCATATTTACATATGTGCATCAGACAATATATTAAATACAGTAATCACAATTATTATAAAGTATTTTTTCATTATCTTTGATGTAGTAGTGTCCTCATCACAAAAATACAAATAAAACAGAAAAAATAAGACATGCAGCAAGAGAGATCCCAGAGTTAAGAAATGAGAATTAAGGAATATGAGAAAATAAATGTGGAATACTATTCCTTAGCACTATTTACTTGGAGAACAAAAAGACAATTTAAAATAGCAAAGAAAGAACTGGTATAGAAGAGTCACTCTAATATATTTCCCTGCAAGGGAAGGAAGGGGGTGTCTTGATGCTGGTGAAGGGCTCTTGGTTAAAAGAATTGGTGCTGCCTTCTCTTTCCTTGCATCAAACCTTGATCACCTCTCATTCCACTGGCACTGTATAACGCTATGGGTTTAGTACTTCCTTATGATGTTTGCAGTTCAGAGGGTCATCTGAGCTAAGATATCAGCATGCTTCTTAGATGACAGTGATGGAACACTTTCAGTGGAAAACAGCTGGTGTATTAAAAATAATTCACATATAAAGTAGCAGGCAAGTAGAACAGGACCTATGGGGTAGTGTGATACAACTAATGAAATTTTTTTATATACATATAACAAATCTTGAAGAATGGCAAATAGGATATCAGACACATCATAAGTTAACCATCATACCTTCTCGCAATACTTTGATGGCAACAGGAATCTTGACATTTTCACCCTCAGGCACCCAAACACCCTTATACACGGTGCCGAAGGCGCCATAGCCCAGAATTCCTCCCTTGCGCAACTCTGCCTCCTTCACTATTCGCAACTTGGCTAAATTTGGCTTAATGTTGGTGGGTTTGAGGGGCTCGTTGTCATCATAGGGCATCATGGTCATGGTCATCTTGAGTGCTGCCTCCTTGGTCTTGTTACGTTGCCACCACAGGTAGCAGAACACTGCTAGGAAAGTGCAGAGCAGGAATACACAGCCCAGTGTACCTCCCAGGATGGCTGGGATGCTTTCGTCATCACTGCAACATTACTTCATGTTAACTGATGTACTTAGTTATTGCATATGTTTTGTATCAAATTATGCAATGGATTTCACTTCTTTTCTTAGAAAATTTATATTTTCTAACACTGTATGATTTATAAGGACTTGACATTATTTTATGAATATAATAATAATAGATACTGTAATTTATTAATTTCTATTATTCTATTCAACAATTTATCTTTTTCTGAAAATTCTAGTTTTCTTAATTACCAAATTTAATTGACTAACTCTAATAAAAATTCAACTATTCATCCCAAAGCATTAAAATAATAACTTACAGATACTGTACAGTATAAAGAGACAGTATAAAGTACAGTGTTTCCATAATATATACATATTAAATTCTCCTAGCTTAAAAAAGTAAATTTCAGCCAAGATTATATTACCGTTCATATATCAGGAGGCAAAAAAAAATTAACTAATATAAGTATACACTGTTCCATGTTTCCTCACTATGCTTATTTTAAACAAAATTACACAAAATTATATTAAATGCAAATTCAGTATTATTATTTGCTCACAGGGGAAGAGGTAGCGGATCCTTGCCACAGTAGGGGTCAGAGGCATCCTCTGGGAAGATCTTGTAAGGCAGAGCAGGTGGGCAGAATGCAGTACAATTAAACTTAGTGTTGTTCATACCAGGATCCCCCTCCAGGTAGATCCTGTAGTTGCGACATGTCTGGCACTGCGACTCCAGTGGCCCTGAACACCCATTGGAACATTCCGACGAACACTGTGTTTAATGTAGATAAGCAATGCAAGCCATTAATTAGAATTTGTGATAATATATGGGTATTTACTGATGTCCTTATAACTTTGTAAGAGTGTATTTTAACAGAAACGTGTATTGAATGAAAAATAAGTATTTGAGAAAAATTAATACTGTGACCTACCTTATAGCACACATGGAGCTTTTCATCAGCATAGTGATCCTGGGGACACTCATCCTCACAGTGTTCTCCCCTCCGATAGCTAACACACTCATGGCACACACTGATGTGGAAACCATAAGCTGTACAGTTCTTGCAACGTGGGTGGCAGCGTCGACAGATGGTTTTCCCTGCAAGTCTCCTCAAGTCGCCGGTCTCCTGATGTACCACCCATTCAGAGAAATAACCATTGGGGCAAGATTCATTCTCTGATAGGCAATATTGCACCTCTAGGTCACCATTGATCACAGCTTTTTTGCATGACATACACCCATGTTCACCTATGGTGTTCTCGGGACCCTTACACCCACCAACACAGTTTTCGTGGCATAATCTGCACTCACCATTATCATTATACTTGGTGTCTGGGCATCTTTCCACGCAGTAAGGTCCGTCTTTTACATTCTTGCACCGGTCGCAGTGGTTGGAGTCTGGTCCATGGCAGCTACTGTCACACTCTTTGTGGCAGAAACCACAGACTTTATCATCAATCTGGTATATCCCGGGAAGATTGCAGTTGTTGACACATCGCTCGCCAAGCTTGAAGTTACTACAAGAGAGGCATTCGTTCTCGCCAGTGCCCCAGCAGCCTTCATTGCTGCACTCATTGTGGCACACCAACCCTTCCCTCATGCACTGCTCTCTATCTGCATTGTTCTGCAGCAATGTATGTGTGTTGGCCTTTATGTCATCTCCATTACGCATGAATTTTAACCAATTGATCTTCTCTACAAAACACAGCTCTTTATTTTCCAAAATACAGACCTTCCCAGACCGAATTTTATTTAAAGATCTAAGATTAAGAGATTTGAGCGAAGTTTTGATGATGTACAGAGAGGAGAAATATTCTGTTAGGACCCGACCGCCGATTACCTCCAGGTTTTTTAGAAAGGAAAGATTTGTGAACTCCGGGTGTGTGGCCTGAATATTGATGTAGCCTGTCACTTCCTTGAGTGTGCTAAGCACCTCAAGCTTAGACGGGTGCATCCTTGGATACTTCTCCCCAAATGTGTAGTTGGGAAATACATGCTGGTACCCGTCAAATGAATGATCCATAATGGTGAGGGAGCCATCAAAAATAGTACACCCTTTAAAGGAGTCTATATTGCCAGCATTGATAAACTTGTCACCTGGGCAGGTCTTGGGGCATGGTCCACTACAAGGTACACACTCACCATCCACTGCTTTCTTTCCCTTAGGACAAGACCTGACACAGGCACCATTGTCTTTCAATAAGTGTTCTGGGCAGTTCTTCACACAAGTAGCTCCATAAGCATACTTGCCATTAGGGTTGGTCTCCCATGAATAGGTGATGGTGTTGTAGCGTTGCATTGGTGGACATTCCAACTTGCACTCCCCATCATCATAGAAGTTGCCACAAGCCTGTTAAGAAAAAAAGATGAGGTGAGTAGTTGCCAAAACACCACTACAGTACCTGCAACTGCATAGCAACACATGAGAAATTAAGCCCAGGAGCTGAAACTCAACCCCTGCAACCACAAACACGTGAGTACAGATAGGCAAATACAGTACCAGTCCTTAAGGTAGGTGGTGCTGTATGTACGCATTAAAATGTTTTAATACGTGGGTATTATTTTTTTAATATCCAGGTATGAAAATTTTCTATTAATTTTCTGTTAAAACTTTTAAATACCAGAGTATCAAAAAAAAATAATATCTGAATATTAAAAATACATACACATGTATATTTATTTTTATAGTCTACTGCATTATAATTTTATGACCACTCTGCACTATTCCTTTTGCATGCATTGAGGTAAAGGAGGCCGGACTTATGATATATGGGAATACGGTTCTTGGATCACGCAGCGACCGAAATACATAATAATACTTATTTTGCACAATACCTAGCAACTGTACATTTCAAGGAGGAGGGGGTGCCTTGATGCTGGTGATGGCTCTTGAACCAAGGAATTTGAGTTGCACTACTCTTTTTGGGATTAAACCCAGTTACCATTGATTCCCCAGGCCTGTATGACTCAATCGGTTTAGTGTTTCCCTAAGAATATATGTTCAAGCTAGGCTAATTTTTTCGAGTCATGAAGGCATATGATATTGTTTTAAACCTGAGTTATGTGTGGCCGAGTGTCATGTAATATGAAGAATGAGACACTTGTGCAACATTTGGGAAACTTTACTAAGGAAATGTTTCGCCAGCCAGTATCTTCTTCAGTCCATTCCAGAGAACGATGTTCAGTCCATCACTCTTGAGACTGATGGACTTAACACATCGACTCCAGGCTGAGGGACTGATTACCCCAAGTTCCTCCTCATCTTCTACCGTTCTTCTCTGTAATGTACTGAAGAAGCCACTGGCTGGCGAAATGTTTCCTTAATAGAGATTCCGAAATGTTGCTCAAGTGTCTCATTCTTCAACTTGTCAGTTTTCTTAATTAACTATTTAGTTTATACCATGTACAGTGTTATCTGCGACAAGAGTGCAACCCCTTCCAAATTATTTACAGTGTATGTATAAGTATTTTACAAATGTGCGTGTCATAATTTAAACATATTTGTGCTTGCGAATGTATGCGCATATGCGTCTTATACATGTGCATGTGTGTGCGCGCTCACACACGTGTGAGAGGTGGCCCGGTCCGCCTCGGGCCAGTGCTCAGGACTGCCCCGCCTAATTGCCTAGTGGTCAGCCTGATTCTATTCATATTCAAATGAGCTTTTAAGACATTGTGATTCTGGATACGCCTCTTTTGCTCTGTTTTTTATTAGTCAACAGTTGTGGTTGGGTGTTGGCGGCCAGTTAAACCCACACATGCTGTAGATCACTCAGGCAGGAGGGAAGCAGCAGCCTTGGTTATGAACCACAATGATCCACAGCTGTGCTACACCAGGTGCTGCTCACTCAATGACGAGTAAACTGTGTGTGTGTGTGTGTGTGTGTGTGTGTGTGTGTGTGTGGTGTGTGTGTGTGTGTGTGTGTGTGTGTGTACTCACCTATTTGTGGCTGCAGGGGTCTCTTCATAGCTCCTGGCCCTGCCTCTTCAATAATCACTACTAAATCCCCTCTGTCCCTGCTCCATGAACTTTTATCAAACCTTGTCTTAAAACTATGTATGGTTCCTGCCTCCACTATGTCACTTGCCAGACTATCCCACTTCCTGACAACTCTATGACTAAAGAAATACTGCCTAACATCCCTTTGACTCATCTGAGTCTTCAACTTCCAATTGTGACCCCTTGTTTGTGTGTCCCATCTCTGGAACAGCCTGTCTCTGTCCACCTTGTCAATTCTTCGCAAATTTTGTATGTCGTTATCATGTCTCCCCTAACCTTCCTGTCCTCCAATGTCATCAGGCAGATTTCCCTTAACCTTTCTTCGTAGGACATTGCCCTTAGCTCTGGAACTAGTCTTGTTGCAAACATTTGCACTTTCTCTAATTTCTTGACATGCTTGACTAGGTGTGGGTTCCAAACTGGTGCTGCATACCCCAGGATGTGCCTGACGTACACGGTGTACAGAGTCTTAAACGATTCCTTGCTGATGTATTGGAACGCTATTCTCAGGTTTGCCAGGCGCCCATATGCTGCTGCAGTTATCTGGTTGATGTGTGCCTCAGGAGATGTGCTCGGTATTATACTCGCCCCAAGATCCTTTTCCTTGAGTGAGGTTTGCAGTCTTTGGCCACCTAGCCTATACTCTCTCTGCGGTCTTCTTTGCCCTTCCACGATCTTCATGACTTTGCATTTGGCTGAGTTAAATTCGAGGAGCCAGTTGCTAGACTAGGCTTGCAGCCTGTCCACGTCTCTTTGTAGTCCTGCCTGATCCTCCGATTTAATTCCCCTCATTAACTTAACATCATCTACAAACAGGGACACTTCTGAGTCTGTCCCTTCTGTTATGTCATTCACACATACCTAAAATAGCACCGGTCCTAGGACTGACCCCTGTGGAACCATGCTCTCACAGGCACCCACTCTGACACCTCGTCATATACCATGATTCGTTGTAGCCTCCCTGTCAGGTGTGCTCTGATCCATTGCAGTGCTCTTCCTGTTATGCATGCCTGATCCTCTAGCTTTTGCCCTAATCTTTTGTGATAAACTGTGTCGAAGGCCTTCTTGCAGTCCAAGAAAATGCAATCTATCCAATCCTCTCTCTCTCGTGTCTTACTTTTGTTATCTTGTCATAAAAATTCAGTAGGTGTGTGACACAGGATTTTCCTTCCCTGAGTCCATGCTGGTTGTCGTTTATAAGCTTGTTCCGTTCTAAGTGCCCAACCACTCTCCTCCTGATAATCTTCTCCATGACTTTGCATACTATACATGTCAGTGACACTGGTCTGTAGTTTAGTGCCTCATGTCTGTCTCATTTCTTAAAAATGGGGACTACATTTGCTGTCTTCCATATCTCCAGCAGTTGCCCAGTTTCAATGGATGAGTTGAAAATTGTTGATAGTGGCACACACATCATCTCTGCTCCATCTCTCTCAGAGAGATGTCCGGTCCCACCGCCTTTGAGGTATCAAGTTCACTTAGCTTCTTCACCTGTGTGTGTGTGCATTTCATCCAGCACTTGTTGGTATATTCCTTGTTGATGTACCCCCTATTCTGAACTTCTTAGAGTCCTTTCTGTCTTCACTGTAAATACTTCCTTAAATCTCATGTTGAGCTCCTCACATACTTATTGGTCATTTCTTGTGGGCTCCCCACCTTCCTTCATCCTGATTCCCTGGTCCTTGACTGTTGCCTTCCTCCTGATGTGGCTATACAACAACCTCAGGTCAGACTTGACTTTCGATGCTATGCCATTTTCGTACTGTTGCTGGGCCTCCCTCCTTATCTGTGCATACTCGTTTCTGGTTCTTCAACTAATCTCTTTGTTTTCCTGGGTCCTTTGTCTTCTGTACTTCTTCCATTCTCTAGCGCACTTAGTGTTTGCCTCCCTACACCTCTGGGTAAACCAAGGGCTCGTTCTGGTCTTCCCATTATTTCTGTTGCCCTTGGGAACAAACCTCTCCTCTGCCTCCTTGCATTTTGTCGTCACGTAGTTCATCATTTCGCTTACTGATTTTCCTACCAGTTCTCCTTCCCACTGAACCTCCTGCAGGAAGTTCCTCATGCTGGTGTAGCTCCCCCTTTTGTAGTTTAGCTTTTCCCATCCTACTCCTGTTACCCTCTCCACTTGTAACTACTGTGTGTTTGTGTGTTAGAGATTACATATTTATGAACTGCTTATTTGTATTTACGAGAGCAGAGCAACGATCATGGTGTCTAATTTGTCATATATGTTTTGAATCTCCATTTCAGAAAAAAAATTAGAGGCATGTGTCCGTCTGACTGAAGTTTTGAAGAAGCATTTTTATTGTTATTAATATTGATATAATGTGTTAAACCTATGTGGATCATTTAACGCAAGTAGTAGTGGAAGCTCGATCCTCCGTCGATTAATTGCAGTCCAAGCTCTGAACAGACAGGATCTTCATATCAGTCCTCTGAGGACTGTGACCAGCGTGAGCTTACCTGACTTTAACTCTTCCCTTTGCTCCTTCACTCACCAGACAATCCCGCTGAGTTGGTCCGGTACACCCGCCAGCGCAGAAGAGGTGAGCAGCAGTCCCGTGGTCCTGGACCATAACATCTGCCCTGACTGCACTGGGGTGAACACGTCAACTTGCTGAACTTCTGGCAGTTGTGTTCCCCTTCTCCCCAGCACCCCTTCTTGCAAGCCATGTCGCAGTGGCACGTCCTTTGCGGCTCGGTGAAGTTGTACACGAACATGTACTCGGCGTTGGGGTCAGACATGATCTCCCCCCACTCTATGGTCTCCATGTGGCACAGGTTGTAGTTGTTGATGACTCCCACGCTTCCCTGCAGGATATCTGCAACACGAGAGAGTTGTCAGTATAATGGAGAGGACATGAAGTATAAGCACATACTCAGTTACATCAACCCGTATTCTGCTGAATAAGCCTGCTGCTGCTGCTGCTGCTGCTGCTGCTGCTGCTGCTGCGCAGACTAGATATTTCGACAATGAAGATACCCAAGTATTGCGCACGTGTTTTGCTCATCAACCAACCAGTGTTGAAGGGACAGATGACTGGAATTACAAGGGAGAAAAAAATACGTGCCACATCTGTAATTTTTACCTTTATGGGTAATAATAAGCTAACCTGAAGACTCATCATCGAAGGAATTGAAGCTGCCTTTCCCTTCCCATCAAACTGCATTACTTCCCATTCCCTAGCCCAGGCGCTGTGATTTACACGGGTGTACCGCTTCCCAATGAATATAATAAATATAATACTGTAAAAAGGTAGAGCATTAAAAAGAGATTAAGAGCGTGGAAACACGATACCAAAATTGAAGAAGCGAGAAGATAAATGGTTGGTAGAGTGGGAAATGAGAGGAGGAGGAGGAGGCGAGGGTGAAGGAAGGATGGAAAGGAGAAGGAATCATGAGGAAGATAGTGTGAAGGATGAGAGAAATGGGATAAGAGAAGGGAATAAACGAATGGGGAAGCGAAGAAGGAAGGAGGCGTGACGAAACCGTATTCGTGTGTCACGATTATCTTCCGGGGCTGTGTCGCTAACCTGAAATGAAGATTGAAGGGCTAACTACTACCCCCAAGTATTGTCACTTTTCATCATCTATTACACAGGTTGTAACTTGACAATACAAGGCATCTACAATTAACTATTCCTGCCTTCCATCTGTTTATTTCTTATTCTTTCCTTTCTCTGGTTTGATAAATAACTAATGAAAATGTACCTTCTAGGAATCTACTTGCCTTCTCACTTCCCATTACAATTTTTACATGATTATAACCATTCTAGTCCCCGTCGCTTTAAAATTACACTATGGTGTGTGTACCGTCTTCCTCATGATATCATACATAGGTCTGTAAAACGTGCTTGAGGTCATATATAAGTAGTCTGTAAACGTGCTGAGCGTCAGGTAATCCATCACAGTAAGTTGTAAAACGTGCTTTAGCGTAAGGTTGCATCACGTAGTGGCTGTAAACTGTGAGGCTAGGTAGCATCACAGTAGTTGAACACGTGCTGAGCGTCAGTATGCCAAGTAGGTGAAAACGTGCCTGAGCGTCAGGTATCCATCAGTAGTCTGAAAACGTGTTGAGGATAGGTATGCCATCACAGTAGTCTGGTAAAACGTCTGGCGTCAGATGCCAAAGTAGGTCTGAGAACGTGCTTGAGCGCTGAGCATACAGTTGGGTCTGTAAAGTGCCAGATCAGGTATGCTTCACGAGGTCTGTGTACACTGCCTGACGCTCAAGGTGAGCCTTCACAGAGGCTGTAAACACGTGCTTGAGCGCTCAGGTATTGCCATCACGTAGTCTGTAAACACTGCCTGTGCGTCAGGTGGCTCACAGCAGTCTGTAATACACGCCTGCTTACCATCAGTATGCCACACATAGGTCTGTACGTGCCTGCATCGCTCAGGTTATGCCATCACAGTAGTCTGTAACACGTGCTTGAGCCTCAGGTGCGCCTTCACGCCAGGTCTGATAAATACGTGCCTGACGCTCAGGTATGCCTCCAGTAGGCTAGTAATACCGTGCTGCGCTACAGGTATGCCATTACATTGGTCTGTAAACCACGTCCTAGGCGCTCAGGTATGCCATCAAGTAGGTCTGTAAACACGTTAGCCTGACGCTCAGGTGCCATACAGTAGTCTGTAAACACGTGCTGAGCGCTCAGGTATGCCATCACAGTAGGTCTGTAAACACGTGCCTGAGCGCTCAGGTATCCATCACAGTAGTCTGTAAACACGTGCCTGTAGCGCTCAGGTATGCCATCACAGCAGGTCTGTAAACACGTGCCTGAGCGCTCAGGTATGCCATCACAGTAGGTCTGTAAACACGTGCTTGAGCGCTCAGGTATGCCATCACAGTAGGTCTGTAAACACGTGCCTGAGCGCTCAGGTATGCCATCACAGTAGGTCTGTAAACACGTGCCTGAGCGCTCAGGTTGCCATCACAGCTAGGTCTGTAAACACGTGCTTGAGCGCTCAGGTATGCCATCACAGTAGGTCTGTAAACACGTGCTTGAGCGCTCAGGTATCCCATCACAGTAGGTCTGTAAACACGTGCTTGAGCGCTCAGGTGCGCCTTCACAAAGATTCGTTAAGTTATACCATGAATTAAGGAAAGGTCCTGGACTTCACCTTACGAAACAGAGTAAATGCGATAGTAATTATGGGTAAGGTAGATTATAGTGGAGAAATGATAATGTTATTAGAAGACAGGGGTACTTACGTGCCCCTTATGGCTTGTTCTTGTCAGCTTTATTTTGAGTTTGGTCAAGTAAATTTTTGACCATGTTTGGAAATATGAGAGGTGTGCGCATTTTGTGACTACTCCTTGTGTGTGTTGGGCTACATATTTACGTAATTTTTTTGTACACAGTTCTGTGTGTGTTAGTTACCAATCTGTCCTAGGCGCATGTCCATTAGACACTAGGCCTATTGTAGATGCCCGCGCTCGCGCGGGCGTGTGTGTGTGTGTGTGTGTATGTGTGTGTTGTGTGTGTGTGTGGTGTGTGTGTGTGTGTGTTGTGTGTGTACTATGTGTGTGTGTGAGTCTGTGTTGTGTGTGTGTGTGTGTGTGGTGTGTAGTCTGTGTGTGTGCGTGCGTGACTCACCTATTGGATGCAGGGGTCGATTCATGCTCTGCCAGCCTCTTTCACTGCCCTCTGGGCTTCTCCCGCACCATGAGCTTTATCATACCTCGTTTAAAGCTGTGAATGGATCCTACCTCCACTACTCGCTTTCCCAAACTATTTCACTGCCTGACTACTCTTGACTGAAGAAATACTTCCTAACATCCCTGTGATCATTGTGTCTTCAATTTCAATTGTGTCCCTTGTTGCTGTGTCCCATCCTGGAACATTCTGTCCTGTCCACCTTGTCAATTCCCTCAGTATTTTATATGTCGTTATCATGTCCCCCTGATCCTCCTGTCCTCCAGTGTCGTCAGGCGATTTCCTTAACCTCTCCTTCTAGGACATACCCTTAGCTCTGGACTAAGTCTTGTTGCAAACCTTTGTACTTTCTCTAGTTTCTTGACGTGCTTTATCAAGTGTGTGTGTGTGTGTGTGTGTGTGTGTGTGTGTGTGTGTTGTGTGTGTGTGTGTGTGTGTGTGTGTGCGTGCGTGCGTGTACTCACCTAGTTGTGATTGCAGGGGTCGATTCATAGCTCCTGGCCCCGCCTCTTCACTGGCCTCTACTGGGTCATTCTCCCCGCGCCATGAGCTTTATCATACCTCTGTTTAAAGCTGTGAATGGATCCTACCTCCACTACATCGCTTCCCAAACTATTTCACTTCCTGACTACTCTGTGACTGAAGAAATACTTCCTAACATCCCTGTGATTCATCTGTGTCTTCAATTTCTAACTGTCCCATTGTTGCTGTGTCCCATCTCTGGAACATTCTGTCTCTGTCCACCTTGTCAATTCCTCTCTGTATTTTATATGTCGTTATCATGTACCCCCTATCTCTCCTGTCCTCCAGTGTCGTCAGGTCGATTTCCCTTAACCTCTCCTCGTAGAACATACCTCTTAGCTCTGGGACTAGTCTTGTTGCAAACCTTTGCACTTTCTCTAGTTTCTTTACATGCTTGGCTAGGTGTGGGTTCCAGACTGGTGCCGCATACTCCAATATGGGCCTAACATACACAGTGTACAGGGTCCTGTGTGTGTGTGTGTGTGTGTACTCACCTAGTTGTACTCACCTAGTTGAGGTTGCGGGGGTCGAGTCCGAGCTCCTGGCCCCGCCTCTTCACTGATCGCTACTAGGTCACTCTCCCTGAGCCGTGAGCTTTATCGTACCTCTGCTTAAAGCTATGTATGGATCCTGCCTCCACTACATCGCTTCCCAAACTATTCCACTTACTGACTACTCTGTGGCTGAAGAAATACTTCCTAACATCCCTGTGATTCATCTGTGTCTTTAGCTTCCAACTGTGTCCCCTTGTTACTGTATCCAATCTCTGGAACATCCTGTTTTTGTCCACCTTGTCAATTCCTCTCAGTATTTTGTATGTCGTTATCATGTCCCCCCTATCTCTCCTGTCCTCCAGTGTCGTCAGGTTGATTTCCCTTAACCTCTCCTCGTAGGACATACCTCTTAGCTCTGGGACTAGTCTTGTTGCAAACCTTTGCACTTTCTCTAGTTTCTTTACGTGCTTGGCTAGGTGTGGGTTCCAAACTGGTGCCGCATACTCCAATATGGGCCTAACGTATACGGTGTACAGGGTCCTGAACGATTCCTTATTAGATGTCGGAATGCTGTTCTGAGGTTTGCTAGGCGCCCATATGCTGCAGCAGTTATTTGGTTGATGTGCGCTTCAGGAGATGTGCCTGGTGTTATACTCACCCCAAGATCTTTTTCCTTGAGTGAGGTTTGTAGTTCTCTGACCCCCTAGACTGTACTCCGTCTGCGGCCTTCTTTGCCCTTCCCCAATCTTCATGATTTTTGCACTTGGTGGGATTGAACTCCAGGAGCCAATTGCTGGACCAGTTCTGCAGCCTGTCCAGATCCCTTTGTAGTTCTGCCTGGTCTTCGATCGAGTGTATTCTTCTCATCAACTTCACGTCATCTGCAAACAGGGACACCTCAGAGTCTATTCCTTCCGTCATGTCGTTCACAAATACCAGAAACAGCACTGGTCCTAGGACTGAGCCCTGCGGGACCCCGCTGGTCACAGGTGCCCACTCTGACACCTCGCCACGTACCATGACTCGCTGCTGTCTTCCTGACAAGTATTCCCTGATCCATTGTAGTGCCTTCCCTGTTATCCCTGCTTGGTCCCTCATTTTTTGCACCAATCTCTTGTGTGGAACTGTGTCAAACGCCTTCTTGCA